CACCACACCTTCCTGATCCCACCAAACGCAGAGCATTGTCTTTTTTCAGAAGTAATTTGGCCTTTCAGTCGATGTTGATGGTTGACCTGGATCAACCCATGATTTTGTGCATTTGGGATTCTCAAAATAAATCCACTTTTCATTGCCAGTTACAATTCTATGTAAAAGACTTTCTTTCGTGCCATTGAAGCAACATTTTACTGATTTCGGTTTTCCATTTGTCTTTCATTCAGTTGATGTGGCACCCATTTTCCTTCCTTTAAAATCTTTCCCATTGCTTGTAAAGGATCAGAAATTGTTTGTTGAGCAACATTGAAACTTTTTGCAAGTTGTTTTTGAGTTTGACATGAATCTTCATCCAATAATGCTTGTAATTGTTGGTCTTCAAACTTTTTCGGTTGACCTGGACACTCTTTGTCCTTCACATCAAAATCGTCACTTTTAAAGTGTTTAAACCAGTGTTCACAAGTATCTTGAGATGGAGCATGTTCACCGTAAGTTTCCCAAAGTATACAATAACTTTATCTTCAAAATAAAGTAATGAATTAAAACTTCCCGCAAATGCTCTTTTTTTGGCACGACATTCGACATTTTTAAGTGTAAAAATATCTATGGCCCTAACTAGTTTGGCTCAGTGGATAGAGAGTCAGCCTGCAGACTGAAGGGTCCCAGGTTCGATTCCAGTCAAGGGCATGTACCTTGGTTGAGGGCACATCCCCAGTAGGGAGTGTGCAGGAAGCAGCTGATTGATGTTTCTAACTTTCTATCCCTCTCCCTTCCTCTCTAAAAAAATCAATAAAAAAATATATATTTTTAAAAATCTATGATGTTAACACCTTCAGCAAATTTGACATATGAAGCTTTGAAGCTTGCTGTCAATACAACAAAATAGCATACATATCAAATCGCATATATATCAACATATGTGTACTCCATCTATTTAAAAAATCCGCATTATGAACTAGTACACCTAGTAGAATATAGAAACTTCCACTAGTACTTCTACCATCTTAGGAAGTCATGAGGGGAGGATCCACCTGCATTCTGGCTCTTTGACATGGGTGGCAGGGAGAAAGCCTGTTTCTCTGTTGGGAAGGTTGAGTGTGGCCCACTCCCACCGAGCCATCATTCTTGCCCTTTTCTGAGCTTGCCCATATTCCAGTGGAGCACGCACACTGCAGGATCAGGCCAACTCTTTGGCTCTTGAATCTTGCTCTCACTCTCTCCTACTGCTTGCTTCATGGATCTATTTCTTGTTTCCCATGTGGTAGATAGACCTTTTGGGATGCTCTTCTGTGGGAGGAGGCTGCTGTTCTCCAGCTGTTCCACTGGTGACAGCATGGGTAAGTCAAATCTGGAACTAGCCACATCTCCAGCTCAGTTTTTTTGTTTCTTTGTTAATCCTCACCTGAGGATATTTTTTCCATTGACTTTTAGTGAGAGTGTAAGGGAGGGGAGAGACAGAAAGAGAAACATTGATGAGAGAAAGAAACATTGATGTGAGAGAGACACATTGATTATGGTTACCTCCTGCACATGCCCCAACCAGGGCAGAGATTGAGCCCTTGATTGGAACAGAACCCTTGACCCTTCAGTACGAGGGCCAACGCTCTAACCACTGAGCAACTGGCTAGGGCCAGTTCAGTTTTACCAATAAAAATTTTAAATATTTTTATCCCCCATTTAGCACTGTGTATCTGTTCCAGTTGGTTCAGAACCTGAAAGGGAAAAAAGGTATGCTGAGGTGCCCGTGAACCCCCAACACTCACACAATGAATCCTCATAATAAAGTGAAATCAGTCTACATATGACTCAAGAGTCTGAATTTGCTCTGCTGGTATTCTACAGGGAGCAGTCTTGCAGTGAGGTCTCAAAAGCATATTTGATTTCTGTGTCATACACATTTAAGCCTGCAAAGACCATTATGAATCGAATAGGTAGCTCATTAAAATCTTTCCATTAACTTGCTGTTTTCCAAATATTCTGACCTGTACAGCATTGACCTTCATCAAGAAGCGTATGGTCTCCATGAAGATGGTGGTAGGAATTTGGGAAATTCTATCAGGGGTAGGATGCAGAAAAACTGATGAACCCAGACATTTTGATGCTTCTGAAGATACATTAAAAGAATAGATGATTAGATATAAAGGAAAAACATACGAAGCTCAGACATACTAATGTAGCAGGGAGAGTATTCTAATCTAATATACGAGAGAGGTTATAATCTGGAAAGCAATAGGTTGCTCCATATCGATGGTCTCCAAAGAGGAGATCTCAAAGATTCTTAAGGTTAGTCTACACTGTTTTCAAATGAAGTCACAACCAAATAAAAGGATTTTTAAAGTATTCAGATCTTCCTGAATGTGAAACACAATCTATAAATATTCTAAAAATAAAGAATCATTGTTAGAAAATCACAGGTCTGTAGTTGGCTACTTTTCTGAGCTAAATATAAATCCTTGTTTATTGAAAGTGTTGAATTTCAGAGCCTAGCCTCATATGAAGGCACTTAGGCAAAATGACAGATAAATAATCAACTTCAAACAAGTTAAAAAGTGCCATTTTGGTAATCATAGGGGTTTTCATTCTTGTCTATATCCCTCTTTCGATTGGAAATCTTTATTCCTAATTACCTCTTTTTAGTATCTCCTTGGGAAATAAGTTGGATGGGTTTGGGTTGACTGCTGCATCCTGAGATGGTACAGGAAAAATTCGTTCTTGTGAATGTGACTGCAGTTTGGAGGATTCTTCAAGAAATCCATCTAGAACAGAAAACGGAGCTCCTGATCCTAAATAGATTACATTTTAATGAGAAAAAAACACAATGTCTTGCTACATTGAATGTTAAAAGATTATTACAGAAAATAAAATACAATTAATTTTCAAATCATAAAAAACATTCCTGAAATATTGCATCGACAGACTTGTTTTCCAGACTTGCTATATTTCTGAATAATTTAAAGAGTACAAGCTAAACTGATAGCACATCTTCTGTCACTATAACTCCTAGTTCAATCCTGCTGGTGGCCCATGTCATAATAATGTCAAACAGATACCTCTTATAAAAGTTACTTATTAAATCCAGATTCTCAAAAATCCAGATGAGCCAGGCCAGTGTGTCTCCGTGATTGAGGGTCACTGGTTCGATTCCCAGTCAGGGCACACACCTGGGTTATGAGCTCAATCCCCAGTACGGGTAGTGCAGGAGGCAGCCCATCAGTAATGTTTCGCTGTCATTGATGTTTCTATCTCTCTATCCCTCTCCTTCCTCTCTCTCTAAAAATAAATTAAAGTATATATATTTTAAAATCCAGATGAAAAGATTAATATATTTTTAGATATTAAAATCCCTGAAGAACAGGAATTCTAATAAACTTATCTCAGTGTTTAATAATAATAAAATAACAATTATAATACTGTAGCTGTATTTGATCATGACTATATGCCAGGTATTACACTAAAGTCTTTGATGTATAATCTCACTTATTTTTCACAACATTATGAGATATTTTATTTACTATGCTCCTTTAAACCAAGTGAATCACAGAGAAGTTAGTTTCCAAAGCTCTTAAACATGCCTGGCTGCCTCTAAAAAAAAAAAAAAAAAAAAAAACCAAAAAAAAAAAAAAAAAAAGCAGCCAGACCAGTGTGGCTAAGTGGCTGAACGTCAACCCAGGAACCATCAGGTCACTGGTTTGATTCCCAGTCAGGGCACATGCCTGGGTTCTAGGCTCGATCCCCAGTGGAGGCATGCAGGAGGCAGCTGATTGATGAAGTTTCTCATCGATGTTTCTATCTCTCTATCCCTCTCCCTTCCTCTCTAAAATAATAGATAAAAACGTATTTTAAAAATAAAAAAATAAAAAGCAATGCCAGGCAGGAAATGAACAGTGCCAGCTGGCTCCAATTAGAAGAGGTCACTCATCTAGAGCAAAAGATATGGCTTTGGAAAATAGGTAGAAATTGAATAGCTAGAGAGGGAGAAACAGTCAAGGCTGGGGCAAGCCACTGGCAAAAGCATGGAAGTAATGAGCTAATTTATTTTACTGGATATTGAGGAAGTTAAGGATAAGGCACGTTGGGGCTACACTTTTGATATTTGACATTTGAATGCTAGGATGTTGTTCATATAGGCAAAAGCAGAGGGTTACAAAGGAGAGTACTGAGCAGAAAATTTAGCTAAAATTAATATTTTATGAAGATTACTCTAACAGTGCAATGTAGCAAGGAGAAAAAAAATGTGGGTGGAGACAAAGAGGGTGTTACAACAGTGTGGACATTTGGTAGTAGAAAGATGCAAGGAGCATTTTGAAAGAGAACCAGCTGGTCTCAGGAATTACGCTGATACAGAGATGTGGGAAGCTCAAGCAAGAAAGGAAGAGGAACAGGGATGAATGATCTCATGATCATGAACTTGGGTGCCTAATATAGGGATGTAGAATCAACTTAGAAGATAAGGAGTTTAATCGTAGAATAATCCAGCTGCTGGTATCTGGAGGGATGTCAGTGTTAAAGACAGACATTTGAGCGTTTTCAGTAGCGAAATAGAAACTATGAGGGCAGGTGGCCTCTTAGAAAGTAACATGGTATTACTGGGAAATGATTATATCTAATGAGTGTGACAAGAAAGAGAAGCTAACAAAGGAAACCCAAACTGTCAGAGATATAGGAGGCAATCCGACAAGTGTTTTAGAAAGGAGAGTGTTAAATACTGCAGACTGATCACTGAAGGGTAAGTGATGATCTTAATGAAAAAAATTGTTAATATTCAGCTTTTCTGAGGTGTAATTTACATATTATAAAGTGTTCACTTTTAAGTATATATTTCAATGTGTTTTAACAAATACATATACTACGTAATCACTATCACAATCAATGTATAAAATATTATAATGTCCCAAAAAGCTCCTGTGTGCCCTTTTCAGCCCTAGGCCACCACTGATCTGCTTTCTATATAGGTCAGTTTTGCTTTTTCTAGAATTTAATTTAAATGAAATCATACAGTATGTACTCTTTTGCATCTGCCTTATTCACTTAGCATAATGCTTTTGAGAGTCATCCATGTTGTGTCTATCAGTAATTTGTTTATTTTTATTGCTGAATGGTTTTTGATTATGTGGTTATAAGTAACTTTACTGACCACTCACTTATCTTTAGGCGACTGGGTTGTTTTCAGTTTTTGCCTGCTATAAATAAATCTGCTATGAACATCTGTGTATAAATCTTTGCAAGGACATGTTTCCATTTCTCTTGTGTAAATACCTAGGAGTGAAATTGCTGGCATATATATGTTTAACTTTATTTATTTATTTTTTTAAATATATTTTATTCATTTTTTACAGAGAGGAAGGGAGAGGGATTGAGAGTTAGAAACATCGATGAGAGAGAGAAACATCGATCAGCTGCCTCCTGCACCCCTACTGGGCGCAGGCAGACGCTCTATCCACTGAGCTAAACCAGTTAGGGCTAACTTTATTTTTTTAAAAATATGTTTTATTGATTTTACAGAGAAGAAGGGAGAGGGAGAGTTGGAGAGAGAGAAACATCAATCAGCTGCCTCCCATACACACCCCAATAGGGGATTCTACCTGCAACCTGGGTATGTGCCCCAACTGGGAACGAACTGGCAATCCCTTGGTACACAGGATGACGCTCAACCAACTGAACCACACCGGCCAGGGCTGTTTAACTTTATTTTAAAATGCCTGGTTGGCTTCTTGGAAGAAGTGCCTGTTCAGGTCCTCTGCTCATTTTTAAATTGGATTGTTTTATTTTTCATGTTCAGTTGTATAAGTTCTTTATATATTTTGGATATTAAGGTCTTATCAGAGGTGCAAATATCACCTCCCATTTGGTTGATTGCCTTTTTGTTTCATTCATGGTTTCTTTTGCTGTATAGGTTTTTAGTTTGATATAGTCCCATTTATTTAATTTTACTTTTGCTTCCTTTGCCTTTGAGGTCAAATTAATAAAATCCTTCCTAAGACCAAGGTCCAGAAGTTTAGTACCTATGTTTTCTTCTATGTAATTTATTATTTCAGGTCTCATATTTAGGTCTTTGGTCCATTTTGAGTTAATTATTTTTGTATATGATAACAAGTAGCAATCTAGTTTCAGTCTTTTGCATACAGCTTTCCAGTTTTCCCAGCACCATTTATTGAAGAGCCTTGGGTGGGAGGTAATCAACTAAAGATCTTGTATGCATATATACATGACTTCTGGATGCTGACGGGGGTGGTGAGGGCCTGGATGCGGCGGGCGGGGGGGGGGGGGAGGGGGGCCATGGGGGAAAAAGGGGACATATGTAATACTTTCAACAATAAAAATTAAAACCATAAAATAAAATAAAACAAGACTCATATACTGCCTAAAAGAGACTCACTTCAAATCTAAAGGCACACAGACTGAAAGTAAAGGGACGAAAAAAGATATTTCATGCAAACGAAAATGAAAACAAAAAAAGCTGAGGTAGCAATATTTATATCAGACAAAATAGACTTTGCATTACAAGAGTCAAAGAAGGACCCATCAATTAAAAAAAAAAAAAGAATAGAAAGCCCTGGTCGGTTTGTTCAGTGGTTAGAGTGGATCATAGATTTGATTCCCAGTCATGACATGTACCTGGGTTACAGGTTCGATCCTGGACAGGTCAGGGTACATGCGGGAGGAAACTGATTGATGTGTGTCTCTCACATCAATGTTTCCCTCTCTCTCTCTCTCTCTCTCTCTCTCTCTCTCTCTCTCTCTCTCTCTCTTTCCCTCCCTACCTCTTTCTCTCCCCTCCTCTTTCTCTAAAAATCAATGGGAAAATCCCCAGGTGAGGATTAAAAAAAAAAAAAAGAACAAGGAAAAAGGGAGTGTACAAATAAATAAATTTAAGAATCACAAGAGAGGGACCTTACATGTTGGGAAGAGAGTGAGGTGGGGGAAATTTACTCTGCTAGAACGATACTCCTTTTAGGGGTGCACAGGGACAGTGAATTATCTAAGATTTAAAAAAACTGAATAGCAACAGTAAAAGCTTCAGACTTTCAATCACATGAATGGGGAAATATTTTGGAAGATTCTTCCCTGGTATCCCTGGAACAACTCAAAATTCCACCTATTTTTTTCATTTCACAAATATCCACTGAGTACCTACTATGTGCCTGCTTCTGTTCATAAGGCCAGTAATTTTTTCCAACAGCCACTAATCATCTCCATTCGCTGGTCCTACCTGCTGGGGGTTCCGCCTTGCTTGCTGTGGTAGAAGAACCACTGGTGACTCCCCAAGGTCCTAAACTGGATTCTGCTTTTACTCCTTCTTCAATGTGCTCCACCGCACCAGTGCTCTTCTGCCTGTATACTTGGGTTTCAACGTCTAAGGTACCAGCATTCTTCATTAATTGTGCCTGAAGCATTCGTGCCTGAAGCTGTTTGAAGGCCTCGTGAAATGCCATTTCCATTCGAATATCATTGTTTTGAATTTCATAGTATAAACCTGAAGAAAGAAAGATGCTGAAAATAAATGTGACTAATTTGCCACCATCAGCTACTAGGAATTGTAATATTTCACTTTACGTTTCCCACATTTTTACCAAAGTTTAAGAACTATATGAAGAGTGATTAAAGAGTGGGCAAACAGCCCTAGCTGGTTTGACTCAGTGAATAGAGTGTTGGCCTGAGGACTGAAGGGTCCCGGGGTTCGATTCCGGTCAAGTGCACATGCCCGGGTTGCAGTTCGATCCCCAGTAGGGGGCATGCAGGAGGCAGCTGATCAATGATTCTCTCTCATCAATGATGTTTCTATCTCTCTCTCCCTCTCCCTTCCTCTCTGAAATCAATAAAAAAAATATTTTTTAAAAAAGAATGGGAAGACAAAGGGAGAATCTTATAATGGAATAAAAACATATTCAGACCACAGGAAAATATCATACCAAGTAAAGTCCAGGCTACAACACTGGTTGGCTCCAAGCAAGTAGCATCCTCAAAGAAAATCTCTGCCTGTTCGTAGTTCTCCATCAGGACAGCCAGGACACCACACAGCAGCAAGCTGAGAAGAGACCACCAACATGATTAGCAACATGGTCCCATGTCACCATCCTGGAATCAAGACAACTTCATTTAGTAGCTTATCTGCTCCTCCTCATTCCCCATCTCCCCTCACCCATACCTGTGGATATGATTCTGGTTGAGGGAAAGGGCTTTCCGAAAACACTCCTGAGCTTTGATGTTGTCCTCAGTTAGGAGGCAGAAGGCACCATAGTCCAGCCAGTGTTCCAGGTTCTGGGGCTCACGAACCAACCTCTACCAATGATATATCAGAAGGACCAACGTTATTGTGACACTACGTCATATTTTTTTAATGCACATAACCCAGAAGCACTCCATAAATACTATAAGCTCTATGAAAGCAGAAACTATGACTTCTTTTTTTGTTTACCACTGAATTCTGAATGCCTAGCACAGTCAATGTTCTGGCTTATAGTAAAGTCAGTAAATATTTATTGAAATAATCTAAAAATTGATTACTTTCTAGTGTTAGTGTCTGGTCACTATACGCTCCTCCAATTACTTAGAAGCCTAAAGATCAATTTTTATGGTTTATTTAAAAAATTCATATATAACCATCTTTGTCATAGTCTTGAGATGGCAAATATAAATTTATCTACAAATTTGTTTTAAAAAAGCACCTCAACATATTGTAGTGAAAACTACAAAATATCGCTGAAAGAAGTTAAAGCAGACATAAATAAATGGAAACACATCCCATGTCCATAGATTGGAAGACTCATAAGATCTCAATACTGCCCAAATCAATTTACATATGCAATCTCTATCAAAATCCCAGTTTTTCTTTTGCAGAAATAGAAAAACCTGACCTAAAATTCATTTGGAATGCCCAGGAAACTGAATAGCCAAAACAATCTTTAAAAAGAAAAACAGCCCTGCCCAGTTTGGCTCAGTGGATAGAGCATCAGCCTGTGGACTAATTCTGACTCTCTATCCCTCTCCCTTCTGCTCTGTAAAAAATCAATAAAAATATATTTTAAAAAAAGAAGAAAAAAAAACCTGGAGGACTCATACTTCCTGATTTCAAAACTTACAAAGCTACAGCTTTTTTGTTTGTTTGTTTTCCACAACAGATTTGCTGCCAGAACACAGGTGTGAAAACCACCACTAAATCTAAAACAAAATGGGAAAGGAAAAGATTCACATCAACATCATCATCATTGGACATGTAGATTCTGGCAAGTCTACCACTACTGGCCATCTGATCTACAAATGTGGTGGAACTGACAAAAGAACCATCGAAAGATTTGAGGAGGCTACTGAGATGGGCAAATTGAAAGCTGAACGTGAGTGTGATGTCACCATTGATATCTTCCAAATTCAAGACCAGCAAGTATTATATGACCATCATTCATGCCCCAGGACAAAGATACTTTATCAAAAATATGATTACAGGCGCATCTTGGGCTGACTGTGCCGTCCTAATTTGTTGCTGCTGGTATTTGTGAATTTGAAGCAAGTACCTCCGAGAATAGGCCGCCCTGTGAGCATTCCCTTCTGGCTTACACACTGGATGTGAAACAACTAATTGTTGTTAATAAAATGGATTCCATTGAGCCAGAAGAGATACAATAGAATTGTTAAAGAAATCAGCACCTACATTAAGAAAACTGGCTACAAACTTGACACAGTAGAATTTGTGCCAATTTCTGGTTGGAATGGTGACAATATGCTGGAGCCAAGTGCTAACATGGCTTGATTGAAGGGATGGAAGGTCACCCATAAAGATGGTAATGCCAGTGGATCCACGCTGCTTGAAGCCCTGAATTGCATCCTGTCACTAACTCGTCCAACTGACAAGTCCCTGAGTCTACTACCCTCAAGGACATCTACAACGTTGGTGGTGTTGGTACTGCCCCTGTAGGCTGAATGCAGATTGGTGTTCTCAAGCCCAGCATGGTGGTCACCTTTGCTCCAGTCAACGTTACAACTGAAGTGAAGCCTATTGAAATGCACCATGAAGCTTTGAGTGAAACTCTTCCTGGGGACCATGTGGGCTTCAACGTCAAGAACGTGTCTGTTAAACATGTTAAATGTGTCTGGTGACAGCAAAAACAGCCACCAATGGAAGCAGCTGCCTTCACAGCTCAGGAGATTATCCTGAACCATCCAGGCCAGATCAGTGCTGGATTGTCACACAGCTCATATCGCTTGCAAATTTCCTGAGCAGAAGGAGAAGATTGACCATCATTCTGGGAAAAACCTGGAAGATGGACCAAAGTTTTTGAAATCTGCCATCATCAGTATGGTTCCTGGCAAGCCCATGTATGGTGAGAGCTTCTTTGACTATTCTCCTCTGGGCTGTTTTGCTGTTTGTGACACAAGACAGCCAGTTGCTGTGGGCTTCATCAAAGCAGTAGATTGGCAAAGTCACCATCTGCCCAGAAGACTCAGAAGGCTAAATGAATAGTATTCCTAATATTTGCCACACCAGTCTTAATCAGTGGTGGAAGAATGGTCTCAGAATTGTTTGTCTCAATTGGTTATTTAAGTTTAATAGTAAGAGACTGGTTAATGATTACAATGCATCATAAAACCTTCAGAAGGAAAGGAGAATGTTTTAGGGACCATTTGGGGTGTGTGTGTGTGGGGGGGGCAGTTTTTAAGTTATTCGGGGTTTGGGTTTTTTGGGGGGTTTTTTGTTTGTTTTTTTTTTTTTTAGAGAAAGAAGAAGGGAGAGGAATAGATAGAAACATCAATGAGAAACATCCATCAGTTGCCTCCTGCATGCCCCTTATTGGAGATCAAGCCCATAACCAGGGCATGTGCCTTGAATGGGAATCAAACCAGTGACCTCTTGGTCCATGGATCAACACTCAACCACTGAGTCACACCAGCCTGGCAAGTTATTAGTTTTTTTAAAAATATATATTTTTATTTATTTCAGAGAGAAAGGGAGAGGGAAAGAGAGAGAAACATCAATGATGAGAGAGCATCTCTCTTGAACACCTCCCACTGGGGATTGAGCCAACAACCCAGGCATGTGCCCTTGACTGGAATCAAACCTGAGACCCTTTAGTCCACAGGCCAACGCTCTATCCCCTGAGCCAAACCAGCTAGGGCTAGTTTTTAAAATCAGTACTTTTCAATATAAAAACTTGAGCAAAAATCTGTCACAGAATTTTGAGACCCATTAAAACAAAGTTTAATGAGGAAAAGAACTTACAAAACTATAGTAACCAGTCTGGTACTTGTATAAAGACACACATTTAGACCAATGAAATAGAATAGAGAGCCCAGAAATAAACCATTGCATATATGGTCAAACTATTTTTGATAAAGGTGCCAAGACCATTCAATAGGGAAAAGGGCGGTCTTCAACAAATGGTGCTAGAAAGTGGATATCTACATACCAAGGAATGAAGTTGCACCTAACCTTACCTAATACTACATACACAATAAGTAACTCAAAATGGATCAAAGACCTAAACATAAGACCTAAAACTATAAATCTTTGAGAAGAAAACTTAGGACAATAGCTTCCTGACATTGGACTTAGCAATGATTTCTTGGATATGATAACAAAGGCACAGGCCATTAAAGAAAAAATAGGCAAATTGGACTTTACTAAAAATCAAACTTTTGTACATCAAAAGAAACTACCTTTTGATGTACTCTTTTACATCAAAGAGTAAAAGAGGGTTTGGGGAGAATGGGAAAAATATTTGCAAATTATATATTTGGTAAGGGGTTAATATTCAGAATACTGTATATAAAGAATTCCTAAAACTCAACAAGAAAATATTAAACATGACTCAAAAATGGGCAATATTTTTGAATAAATATTTTGAATAAATATGTTCCCAAAGATCTACAAATGGCCATAAAACATAGGAAGAAATCCTCCACATCACTAATCATCAAGGAATCAAACCACAATGAAATATCAGCTCTCACCCATTAGGATAGCCACTATCAACAAAACACAAATAACAATTGTTGATGAGGAGGTGGAAACATTAGAAGTCTTGCTGGAATGTAAAATGGTGCAGCCACTTTGGAAAGCAACAAGGTAGTTCCTCATAAAATTAAAAATAAAATATGACACAGCAATACCTACGAGAATTGAAATCAGAGTTTCAAAGAGACATTTGTACATCCATGTTCATAGTAGTGTTATTCATAACAGCTAAAAGATACAAGCAACCCAAATGTCCACTGACAGATGAATGGATAAGCAAAATGTAGTATATACAGACAATGGAATATTACTTAGCCCTAAAAAGGAAGGAAATTCTGACATATGCTTCAACATAAATGAACCCTTGAGGGCATATACTGAGTAAAATAAGCCACTCACAATGGGACATAACAATTTATTCAGATAGACTGATGTTTTAAACTTGTTATAGTCTAAATTTTCCTATCAATTAATTTAAAAAAATATTTCCTGCCCTAACTGGTTTGGCTCGGTGGATAGAGCATCGGCCTGCGGACTCAAGGGTCCCAGGTTCAATTCCAGTCAAGGGCATGTACCTTGGTTGCGGGCACATCCCCAGTGGGGGGTGTGCAGGAGGCAGCTGATCGATGTTTCTCTCTCATCGATGTTTCTAACTCTCTATCCCTCTCCCTTCCTCTCTGTAAAGAATCAATAAAATATATATATTAAAAAAAATATTTCCTCTTGAAAAAAATCATAAATGTGAAAAGATGTTCAAAGTCACTAGTCATTAGAAAAATGCAAAGTCACAATGAGATACCACTTCAACCCATGAGAATGGCTATACTTTTTTTAAACAATGGACAATAACAAGCATTAGGGAGAATATAGAGAAAATGAAACCCACGTCCATTGCTGGTGGAAATGTAAAGTATTAGTACACCTTTTTAGAAAATGGTTTGGCAGTTCCTCAAAAGTTAAGCACAGAGCCCTAGCTGGTTTGGCTCAGTGGATAGAGCATCAGCCTGAGACTGGAGGGTCCTGAGTTCGATTCCCAAGGCACATCATGCTCGGGTTGTGGGCTCGATCCCCAGTGGGGGGCGTGCAGGAGGCAGCAGATCAGTGATTCTCTCTCATCATTGCTGTTTCTATCTTCCTCTCCCTCTCCCTTCCTCTCTGAAATCAATAAAAATATATTTAAAAAGAAAAAATTAAGCATAGAGCTACCATATGACCTAGCAGTTCCACTCCTTAGTATATACTCAAGAGAACTGAATACATTTATTCAAAAACTTACATTCATGAATTTATAGGTGTATGTCCATAGCAGAATTATTCATAATGGCCAAAAAGTGGAAACCAGTCAAATGCCCATCAATAATGAGGGAAGTAACAAAATGTGTTATAGCTATACAATGGGATATTATTCAGCCATAAAAAGGAATAAAATACTAATACATGCTACAACATGAATGACCACAAAAAATGGCCTGGCCAGTGTTCTCAGTGGTTAGAGCGTTGGCCCACACACGGAAGGGTCCTGGGTTCGATTACCAGTCAAGGGCATGCAGCTGGGTTGCAAGTGCTCCCTGCCCCTGGGTGAGGGCACAAGCGGGAGGCAACCAGTTAATGTGGCTCTCTCTCTCTCTCTCTCTCTCTCTCTCCCTCCCTCCCTCTCTCCCTTCTTCCCTACCACTCTCTCTAAAAAAGCAATGGAAAAACCTATCCTCAGGTGAGGGTTAACAAAACAAACAAAAAAATTTATGCTGAGTGAAAGAAGGTAGTTACAGAATACCACCTATTACATGATCCCGTTTATATAAACTGGCTACAGTAGGTAAATCTGTATGTAAGGTAAACAGTGATTGCCTCCGACTGAGGGTAAAGAGTAATGAGGAGTGACTACTAATGGGCACAGGGTTTCTTTTGGGGTGGTGCAAATTCTCTAAAATTAGATTGTGGTATTGCTGTGAACCCAAAACTTCTAAAAAAAAAGTCTATCAAAAGTACAACATAGGGAATATAATCAATAATATTGCTATGTATGGTCCAGGTGCATAATGGAAATATCAGGGGAAACACTTTGTAAAGTATATGATTAGCTGATCACTATGCTGTACATCTGAAACCAATGCAAAATAATACTGAAACTAAACTGTAATTGAAAATTTTTAAAAATAAAATTTTAAAAGATAAAAATAATGAAAAAATGTCTAAAAATTAGATTATGGTGATGGTTGCACAACTCTGTAAATACAGTACAGAAAATACGATTGTACACTTTAAATGGGTGAATGTTATGGCTGGTGAACTACATCTTGATAATTAAATAAATATAAATGAAGATTTCAGACCATTTTTTTCACATGTTTATTCAGCTCATGATGCATGTGGTAGGCAGTACTAACAGAACTAGAGAACTCAACTATCATTCATAACAACTGTAAGAGCTGAGTAAATCATAACACATCGTAAGGGCTCAGTAAATGTTTGCCGAATTTGTTGAATACAGGTGGTTTTTTAAAACTTATTACAAGAAATTAATATTTTTTTTCTTTTGGTATACAGTTCTAAGAATTTTAACACATGCACACCTTCATGTTGCCTTTAGCAAAATCAAAATACAGAACAGTTCCACCACCCGAGAAAACTTCCTCATGCTATCTTTTTATAGACTTCTTTTCCCCTACCCATAACCTCTGGCAACCATAATCTGTTATCCATCATCGCTTTGTCTTTTCAAGAATGTCATATAAATGGAACCATACAGTATGTAGTAACCTTTGGCACTGGCTTCTTTCACTTGGATAATGCCTTTGAAATTTGTCCAAGTTGTTGTGTGTCTCTATTGTTCCTTTCTTTCATTGCTGAGTAGTATTTCATTATATGGATAGATCATAGTTTGTTGATCCATTCACCCTTTGAAGAACATTTGAGTTGTTTCCAGTTTGGGCAGTTATGACTAGAGCTACTATAAGCATTTGTGTACATAAGATTTCATTTCTTTAAGGTAAATACCCAGGAATGGGTTGTATGGTAAGTTTACAAGAAAGTACAAAACTATTTTCCAGAGTGGCTGTATCATTATGCATTTCCCCTAGCAAAGTATGAGGGATTCAGCTGCTTTTCGTTCTCACCAGTACCTGGTATTGTCAGCATTTTTCACTTTAGTTATTCCAATAAATATGCAGTGGGATCTCATTCTGGTTTTAATTTGCATTCCCTAATGGCGCTGAACATCTTTTCATGTTCTTATTTAGCATACTCTCTCTCTCTCTCTCTCTCTCTCTCTCTCTCCCTCCCTCCCTCTCTCCCTTCTTCCCTACCACTCTCTCTAAAAAAGCAATGGAAAAACCTATCCTCAGGTGAGGGTTAACAAAACAAACAAAAAAATTTATGCTGAGTGAAAGAAGGTAGTTACAGAATACCACCTATTACATGATCCCGTTTATATAAACTGGCTACAGTAGGTAAATCTGTATGTAAGGTAAACAGTGATTGCCTCCGACTGAGGGTAAAGAGTAATGAGGAGTGACTACTAATGGGCACAGGGTTTCTTTTGGGGTGGTGCAAATTCTCTAAAATTAGATTGTGGTATTGCTGTGAACCCAAAACTTCTAAAAAAAAAGTCTATCAAAAGTACAACATAGGGAATATAATCAATAATATTGCTATGTATGGTCCAGGTGCATAATGGAAATATCAGGGGAAACACTTTGTAAAGTATATGATTAGCTGATCACTATGCTGTACATCTGAAACCAATGCAAAATAATACTGAAACTAAACTGTAATTGAAAATTTTTAAAAATAAAATTTTAAAAGATAAAAATAATGAAAAAATGTCTTAAAATTAGATTATGGTGATGGTTGCACAACTCTGTAAATACAGTACAGAAAATACGATTGTACACTTTAAATGGGTGAATGTTATGGCTGGTGAACTACATCTTGATAATTAAATAAATATAAATGAAGATTTCAGACCATTTTTTTCACATGTTTATTCAGCTCATGATGCATGTGGTAGGCAGTACTAACAGAACTAGAGAACTCAACTATCATTCATAACAACTGTAAGAGCTGAGTAAATCATAACACATCGTAAGGGCTCAGTAAATGTTTGCCGAATTTGTTGAATACAGGTGGTTTTTTAAAACTTATTACAAGAAATTAATATTTTTTTTCTTTTGGTATACAGTTCTAAGAATTTTAACACATGCACACCTTCATGTTGCCTTTAGCAAAATCAAAATACAGAACAGTTCCACCACCCGAGAAAACTTCCTCATGCTATCTTTTTATAGACTTCTTTTCCCCTACCCATAACCTCTGGCAACCATAATCTGTTATCCATCATCGCTTTGTCTTTTCAAGAATGTCATATAAATGGAACCATACAGTATATAGTAACCTTTGGCACTGGCTTCTTTCACTTGGATAATGCCTTTGAAATTTGTCCAAGTTGTTGTGTGTCTCTATTGTTCCTTTCTTTCATTGCTGAGTAGTATTTCATTATATGGATAGATCATAGTTTGTTGATCCATTCACCCTTTGAAGAACATTTGAGTTGTTTCCAGTTTGGGCAGTTATGACTAGAGCTACTATAAGCATTTGTGTACATAAGATTTCATTTCTTTAAGGTAAATACCCAGGAATGGGTTGTATGGTAAGTTTACAAGAAAGTACAAAACTATTTTCCAGAGTGGCTGTATCATTATGCATTTCCCCTAGCAAAGTATGAGGGATTCAGCTGCTTTTCGTTCTCACCAGTACCTGGTATTGTCAGCATTTTTCACTTTAGTTATTCCAATAAATATGCAGTGGGATCTCATTCTGGTTTTAATTTGCATTCCCTAATGGCGCTGAACATCTTTTCATGTTCTTATTTAGCATACTTAATTCCTCCTTAGCAAAGTGTCTGTTCAATTCCTTTGCCCATTTTTATTTGGTTGTTTTTCTATTATTGAGTTTTGAGGTTCTTAATATTCTGGAAACAAATCCTTTGTCAGATATATGTTTTGTAGATATTTTCTTTTAGTCTGTACCTTTTATTTTCTTTTTCTTAACAGTGTTTCTCACAGAGCATACGTTTTTAATTTTGATGAAGTTCCATTTATCAATTTTTAAAAAAATAAATCATGCTTTGTGTCATGTCTAAGATTTCCTTACCTAACTTCAGGTCATGAAGATTTTCTCCTAAAAGTTTCTTAGTTTTATATTTTACATTCAGATCTACAATCTACTTTCAGTTGATTTTTAAAAAATGTGTTTTTATTGAATTCAGAGAGAGGAAGGGAGAGGGAGAAAGGGAGAAACATGGATTGATTGCCTCCTGTATGCCCCCTACTGGGGACTGGGAATTTAACCACATGAGCCACACCAGCCGGGCTTGAATTGATTTTTATACAGCGTTTGAGGTTTCAGTCAAATGTTTTTTTTGTTTGTTTATTTTTTGCATATGATTATCAACTATCCTAACACCATTTTGTGAAAAGACTATACTTTGTCCATTGAACTTCTTTTACACTTTTGTCAAAAATATAATAACCTTATGTGTGTAGACCTATTTTTGGACTCTTTTATTGATCTATGTGTCTATCCTTTCACTAATCAAGTTGGATTTTAAATAATAAAATACTACTATTTATTATACCCATATTGTACAAATAACAGTAACAACAACCACTGGGAAGATGTTTAATTACCTCTTCATAATACACTGCTGCCATTTCAAAGTTCTCATTGACTTCTGCTTCAAATGCAAAGAGTCGAAGCTGTTCACTACTCTTATGAATGGTTGGGACAGCACCTTGGATATCATCTGGCATGGTCTTGTCAACATCAAAATGTTAAGCAGACAAAATAAAACAATTAAAAATAGAGAAGTTTTAGAAGTATAAACCAGATGTGAGACTCCAGTCATGAGGTCTAAAATGATATTGAGGTTTCTTACATCTTGCCAATACAATAAGAGAGTGAGAGTGAACCAAGAGAGAAATATCAGTGGTGAAAGAGAAGCTCTTGTATTTAAATACCAACAGATTGAGCTCATGGAAATGAGTAAAAATTACTGCTCTCCTCAGTCCTCAGGGCAGTCAATATCCCTAAGCAAGTTGCCTCTGACCTCAAACAGATTTCTTTATTTTCTCTGGTGTATGAAACATTATTATCATATTTAGGTCCCATAACATGAAAAAGGTTGACACATACTAACTAGTCTTCAAATATCAAGAAAACAGGAGACGAAGGTTAAAGCTTTGGAAGCTTCTAGTGGGATATATAGACAGACAGACTCTACAAAGGATACATTATAGAAATAGCCAGAAAGGTAGGAGGACACCCAGAAAAATAATATATTCTATACACCCAGATAGAAAAGCAAGTCTGGTATATTAAGTAATATCCTGGATCAGAAACTTTGGCCAAGGAAGACACCCCCAAATTCTTTAATTAGAAGTAAAAATAATATCAGTGACTTTAACAAGTAAAGTTGCTTAGGGATGTGAAGAGTAAAGTAAATTTGAGATGGGCCAAAGAGAGCTGCTGATAATTGACTTGTGCCTCTGTTCTTTGTTCTTTTAATTATGATGATCTTGACCTCAAAATCCCTTCAGCAAACACACTTCCATACCCAAACCCAAAATACTCTACCTCTACTATCCCACTCCCAGAACCCACATTTCAAGTCTTCTACCCTTTGGTCACTTAGTCCCCTTAAAACTGCTCTCTGACTTCATTTCCTTCACTTCCAATATGCCCTCATTTCCCAAGTAGATAAGCCTAGACCCCAAGAGCATCCACACATACTACTCTATCACCAGCACACTCAAGTCCCAGGCATCCTTCTCCTTCTCCTGCACTGGTCCTGAAAACTCCCAAATTCGAGTACTCCTATAACCTGACCCCATTTTTAGATAGGGGCTGCTATCTGGTCCTGAGGAAAACTACCTACACATAGAGATATCTGAGCTGCCACAGACTCTTCTAGCAATAAGTCGTGGCTGAATATATTATTGATTTCAGAGAGGAAGGGGGAGAGAGGGAGAGAGAGAGAGAGAGAGAGAGAGAGAGAGAGAGAGAGAGAGAGATCAATGATGAGAGAGAATCATTGATAGGCTGCCTCCTACACACCCCTTATTGGGGATCGAGCCCAAAACCCAGGCATGTGCCCCTGACAGGAATTGAACCTGGGACCCTTCAGTCCACAGGCTGACGCTCTATCCACTGAGCCAAACCGGGTAGGGCAAAATCCCTCAGCTTTTGAACCCCACACCTAAATTGTTTATTTCTGCACCCATCATATCTCTTCCTTTCAGTCTCAGAGAAAGAGGCATAGTATCCTTCCAGCTGCCTCCTGCACACCCCCCACTGGGGATGTGCCCACAACCAAGGTACATGCCCTTGACCGGAATCGAACCCGGGACCCTTGAGTCCATAGGCCGACGCTCTATCCACTGAGCCAAACCGGTTAGGGCCCACGTTTAAACTCTTAATCCTTTCCCACTTATATGCCCTGAGCTTGCCATCCATTATCTGCTTTCCCTCTGTTTTCACATTCTCCCAACCTGCTGACACCTTTTCCCAAATCTGTGGACATGCTAAAGGCTTTTCCACCATAAAAAAAAATCTCTGTAATTTCTAGCTACTACTTTCCTACTTCTTCCCTTCATCTTTGAATTTTTTGAGTTTATATTTACCTATTTCCTAAGCACTCATTTACTCCTCAATGTGTTATAATTTGAATCCATTCCATTAGCCCAATGAAATTGCTATGTAAAGGTTAACAATAACCTTCTTATTGTCAAATCCAATGAAAAAATTTCCAATTGTTTATCCCCCCAGTTTTATTGAGATATAATTGTCATATATCACTGTATAAGTTTAAGATGCACAGCATGATGGTTTGCCTTACATATATTGTGAAATGATTACTGCAATAAGTTTAGTTCGAATCCATCATCTCATATCCTATATAATAAAGAGCTAATATGCTATTTAGATCTGATGGCGGAACGACCTTCCAGACGACTTTCTGAATGACCAGTGGGTGGGGCCGTGAGGCCTTGAGGCAGCCGGACTGTGAGGGCCAAGCCTCTTGCATGAATTTCGTGTATCGGGCCTCTAGTAGATACAATAAAAAGAAAGGGCAAATAAGAAAAAAATATTTTTTTTCCTTGTGATGAGAACTCTTAACATAAACGTTCATATATATTATATAGCAGAGTTAACTATGTTCATCATACTGTATATTGTATCCCTAGTATTTATTTATCTTATAATTGGAAGTTTGTACCTTTTAACCAACTCCTCCTCTTCCCACCACAGAATTTTGTTTTTCTTGAATTCCTAAGAATATTTGATAATGTTGACCACTTTTTCTTCTTAAAAATGTCTTCTCTGAGCTTCTGGCTGTCTTGCCATTTTAACAATTCACCTGCCTCTTTCATTAATTTTTTTACTCACCATCCTCTAAATGTTGGTTTTCCTAGGGTTCCACCAGCAGCTCGTTCCTCTCTTTACTTATGTTTTTCTAGGCAGCTTCATCTATGACCATAGTTTAACTAGCATCTATATACTCATGGCTCCCAAATTTCCTTTTGCTCTCTCTTGAGCAAAACCCCACTAAAACCAATGTTCAAAATTTAATTCAGGAAAAACCAAGATGGCGGCATAGGTAAACACGGGAGTTTGCTGCCTCGAACAACCACTTCAAAAATACAACTAAAAGATGGAATGGACATCATCCAGAACCACAGGAAGGCTGGCTGAGTGGAAGTTCTACAACTAGGAGGAAAGAGAAAAGCATACCGAGGCTCAGAAGAGGCGCAGTGCTGAAGTAAAATACTAAGGTGCGGGGTGCATTCGGGGCGGGCTGGAGGCTGAGGGCGCGGTTGTCGTTTTCGGGAGGGAGTCTCAGGCTCTGAGCTCCAGTTCCGGGCGAGTCTCTAAGGACCCAGACTCATACGGGAGGGGCGAGACTGTCTGGCATCGCTCAGAACCCTAGGATGGGCACCCCCAAACCCCCAAAAAAGGAAGGGGAATCTGCATATCTCTTCATAGCTCCTGCTGGGTAACCTCAGGAAGAGGCTTAATTAGCACCTCCTTAGATCCAAGAGCCAGTGTACCCAGTGGTCAGAGTGGGACCACCCAGATTACAACTCCTCAGATTCATAAGGAACACACTCAGGGGGCAGACTCAGTGAGCACCAAAGCCCCACTGAAGCAAGTCTTGCCCCAGAAGGGTGTCTTCAGCACAGAAGTTCTCCCACTGCAGACACAGCTGATTCTCACTGCCAATTGGCCTGGAGGTCAATTCCTCCCAGTGACACCTAAAACAATCAAGGCATAACTACAACAAGACTGTGCACAAAGCCCACAAGGGGGTGCACCAAGAGTGTCCACCTCAGGTAACTGGGGAGGCTGAGCCACTGGGCCCTGTAGGACACCTAGCACACAAAACCACTCTACCAACACAGGGAAGCAGACAAAATGCGAAGACAAAGAAACAGGTCACAAATGACAGAAATGGAGGACAGCAAACGACTGGATATAGAGTTCAAAACCACGGTTCTAAGATTTTTCAAGAATTTTATGGAAACCGCCGATAAATGTATTGAGATCCTTAAGAAATCTAGTGAGACCCTCGATGTTGTGATAAAGGACCAACTAGAAATTAAGCATACACTGACTGAAATAAAGAATATTATACAGACTCCCAACAGCAGACCAGAGGATCGCAAGAATCAAGTCAAAGATTTGAAATGCGAAGAAGCAAAAAACACCCAACCGGAAAAGCAAAATGAAAAAAGAATCCAAAAATACGAAGATAGTGTAAGGAGCCTCTGGGACAACTTCAAGCGTACCAACATCAGAATTATAGGGGTACCAGAAGAAGAGAGAGGGCAAGATATTGAAAACCTATTTGAAGAAATAATGACAGAAAACTTCCCCTACCTGGTGAAAGAAATAGACTTCCAAGTCCAGGAAGCGCAGAGAACCCCAAACAAAAGGAATCCAAAGAGGACCACACCAAGACACATCATAATTAAAATGCCAAGAGCAAAAGACAAAGAGAGAATCTTAAAAGCAGCAAGAGAAAAAAAGTCAGTTACCTATAAGGGAGTACCCATACGACTGTCAGCTGATTTCTCAACAGAAACTTTGCAGGCCAGAAGGGAGTGGCAAGAAATATTCAAAGTGATGAATAGCAAGAACCTACAACCAAGATTACTTTATCCAGCAAAGCTATCATTCAGAATTGAAGGTCAGATAAAGAGCTTCACAGATAAGGAAAAGCTAAAGGAGTTCATCACCACCAAACCAGTATTATATGAAATGCTGAAAGGTATCCTTTAAGAAGAGGAAGAAGAAGAAAAAGGTAAAGATACAAATTATGAACAACAAATACACATCTATCAACAAGTGAATCTAAAAATCAAGTGAATAAATAATCTGATGAACTGGTGATTGTAATAGAATCAGGGACATAGAAAGGGAATGGACTGACTATTCTGGGGGTGGGGGAGAGAAAGGGGTGTGGGGGTGAGTGAAGAGATTAGACAATAATCGTGCACCTATGGATGAGGACAGTGGGTTGGGAGTGAGGGCAGAGGGTGGGGTTGGAACCGGGTGGAGGGGAGTTATGGTGGGAAAAAGAGTAACTAATGTAATAATCTGAACAATAAAGATTTAATTAAAAAAAAAATTTAATTCAACATCAATTGCCTCCCACCAGATTTACTCAGGTTGTATTTCTTGTCCTGGTCAATGGCACTACCAGCTACCCAATCACTAAGCCTTAAAGTTAAGAAGTTTTTACTTCTTTTCCTCTATACAATGTGAGAATCAGTTAACATCACCAGTTTCACCACCTCTAACCCATCCTACATACTTCTATTAGAGTGTTTTATACAAAGCCCACTCCACACTACACTCCCACACCAGGAACTGGCTTCATCTCCTGTTTCTTTGTCCCTTACCACTTCAACTTCCACTCCTGAACTGTATGCAGTTTCTATCCTATATAATAAAAGGGTAATATGCAATCAAAAGAACAGCAGAACGACCAGTCGCTATGACACGCATTGACCACCAGGGGGCAGACGCTCAACACAGGAGCTGCCCCCTGGTGGTCAGTGCACTCCCATAGGGGGAGCACCACTCAGCCACAAGCTGGGCTGATGCCTGGTGTGCACAATGGCCTGCCTCCGCAGCAGCACTAAGGATGTCCAACTGTGGCTTAGGCCCTGGGGAGCGGGCCTAAGCCATCAGTCAGACATCCCCCAAGGGCTCCCAGACTGCAAAAGGGCACAGGCCGGGCTGAGGGACCCTCCCTCCCCCCCGAGTGCACAAATGTCATGCACTGGGCCTCTAGTCATCATAATAAAAGGCTAATATGCAAATGGTCATCACACTATGACACCATAAGGCCGTAACACCATGACGCCTTAAGGACCAATCAGCAGGGACCTAAGGTTGCGCCCTCCCCCCACCCCAGCGCCGGGGCCGGGGGACCTGAGGCCGCGCCCCCCTGAAGCTGCGCCCCCCTGAGGCAGTGCTCCCCCTCCCCAGCCCAGGGACGTGAGGCTACATCTCCCATGCAGCGGGGCTTGATGGGGGTGGGGCTGGCCAGGTCTTGGTGTCACCCAATGGGGGTGGGGCTGGCTAGACACTTCTATTATAGAGAAAGGGCAAATAGCAATATTAAAATATTTCCTCTAATTAATTTCCTTTTAATGTACACGAATTTCATGCACCAGGCCACTAGTATATATCATATTCTTCCAAGTTTCCAAGCCTTTTTGATGTTCCCTATGCCTCCAATGCTCTGAAACATCCCCCTGGATAACTTCTTTTTAGCCTTCAAAGCCCAATTCAAGATGCAGCTCCTCTGTAAATCCTTCCCTGAAAGGTCTCAGAGTAAAGTTTACCACTTTTTCTTTAGGCATCCCCTAACCTGCTCTCCCATGGACACCCTTCTGTCACAGCACTTACCTCACTCTACCACAGTTATTTGTATTTTATGCCTGTCTCTACTAGACAGGGGCTCCTTGGAGTCATAAGGCAACAGTAATTGCCATGTCATGCTCAACTGCTTTCCTACTCAAATCATCCAAATCATCTGTGCCCAAGGCAGAATTGTACTCTTAGTCCTAGAATACTAGAGACTCCTCGCCTACCTCTTCAGGGAGGCTAAAGAAAGTGAGAGAGGCCTGGCTGGCATGGCTCAGTGGTGAGAGCACTGGCCCCCAGTCCAAAGGGCCCCGGGTTCAATTCCCTGTAAAGGGCACATACCTGGATCGCAGATTTCCTGCCCCAGTTAGGACATATGTGGGAAGCAACCAATGGATGTGGCTCTCTCATATCTATGTTTCTCTCTCTCCTTCCCTCTTTCCCCCAACCTCCTTCCCTTCCACTCAGTCTAAAATTAATGGAAAACATATTCTCAGGTGAGGATTAACAAAAACAAAAAAAAAAGTGAGAAAAGTGATGGTGGCAGCGAAGAAAGAAACAGTGAAGGAAAGAGCAAGTAGAATAGGGGGTTTGAGGAAGTATAGCTGGTTAGAGACAGACTACCAGGGGGCGGAAAAAGACTGATTTTGTCATTATTTTCAAATAAACCACAACTGCAAGAATTAAAAAATGAGCAAATGAAGGCAAGATGCAAGCTGTGCAAATAATAGATATAAACAGACAAGTAGGAGGAAAGCAGACCGGCACCCTCAAATAGAAAAGGCATATTTGAAGTGTTATTGTCATTCAGGTATAATATCTGAAAACTCATAGTTTTTTCTTTATTTTGATGATCAGTCTTAAAGACAAAAAAGTGAGAATTGCACATATTCACAGAATAAACAGAATGCTCATTTTCATTTCATAATTTAAATAGCCTATTTTATCTCTTTTTATCTATCACATTTATGACAGTTATGAAATTAATTTTCTAGGAAGCTGAAAGAGCATACAGATTGTTCCCCCCCCCACATAATTTAGGCATTTTCATATTCATCTTTCTGTTTGAGTCCCTAGCAGAGAGCAGGTACCTCACTAAACATCTGTAGACTTCAGGAAGAGAAGCAGCAAGGAAGAAAGGAATCATTCAGGGGAAACCATGATGCCCTACTAAGAAAAGGAAGAGCTCTTAGTTCTTGAATACCTACCTGGTTTAAAGCCACATGCATTTGATCCACCAAGAACACATAGAGCTCACTAATGAATGTCTGCAGTTCCTCTTGGTTTTCAAATGGTATTGTTTTCAAGTACTTCTCTCTCACAATCTTTACCACAGCATGCTGCAAGAGACACACATCACTGGGCTAATAGCACAGGCAGCACAGGCCTCCCTTGAGTTTCTCGTCTAAGGTTCATCAGAATTTCAGACGGTAATTGATTTCTCCCTGGTGACTGCTAAACTGTTGGCTCACAGATTTCTCCCTAATCAACATACTCTATATGACTTCTTTTCTTGATGTTATCATCATCTCTAATATGGTCAATTCAGGACTCATACTGTGTGGAGAGAGTCATAAAGCTGAAGAAAACCTTAGCATTATGTTTATGCATTATGTCTCTTATGATGGCCACATGATTCAAGGGGAAAAGGCCTGATTTGAGAATCTGGAGAATGGAATTCTGGTTCTAATTCTGCCACTGTACAATCTCATAAGTTATTTTATACTTGGCATCTCAGTTTCCTCATGTGTTAAATATGTACTTTTGGTATTACTATCTTATTTCAGAAGTTGATTGAGAAGCCAGAAGAAATAACAGGTGGTAATGCTTAAGATGCATTACATATTGCATCTTATAACAAATAACATATTGCTATAGCCAGGACAGCTGCTGCTTCTCTCCCCCTGCCCCCACTCCCCAAGCTAACATCATTGCCAGGATTTATACCATAAGGTTTTTTTAAAACTATTTTTATTGATTTCAGAGCGGAAGGCGGGAGGGAAGGAGGGAGGAAGGGAGTGAGGGAGGGAGGGAGGGAGGGAGAGGGAGAGGGAGAGAGAGAGAGAGAGAGAGAGAGAGAGAGAGAGAGAGAGAGAAATGATGAGAGAGAATCATCAGTCGGTTGCCTCCTGCACGCCCCACAATGGGGATCGAGCCCGCAACCTGGACACATGCCCTGACTGGGAATTGAACCATGACCTCCTGGTTCATAGATTGACACTCAACCACTGAGCCATGCCAGTCAGGCCCATAAAGTTTTTTTAACATAAAGCATTTTCCATGCATTATGTTATTTGATGCTCATAATAACCCCATGTAATAATGTTAATATTATCTCTCATTGTTAGGCAAAGAAATTGAGGCTCAGAGAAGTAAAGTCACTTGACTAAGGCCATCAGCTAGTAACAGAACCAGAATCAAACTGAGATGTGACCCTGCCACCTACTGAGAACGGCCTCTTGCCCCCACGAGCATCTGCTATTTTTTACTTTATTACTTCGATGTGATTTCTTTGTGTTTGTTTATACAGTACAGGGCGCAGAGTAAATGCACACAGAGAGGCAGTGCAGCACTGCAGTTAAGAACATCATTTCTGGAACCAGGCTGCCAGAATGTGAGGCCCATCTTTGACCTTTACTAGCTCTGTGATCTTGGGCAAATTACTTAACCAACTAATACTGCATTTCTTCATCTGTAAAATGGGGAGCACCTCATAGGGTTGTTGTGAGCGTTAAATTTGTAAGCATTTTAAAATTTGGTATACAGCAAACACTCAATAAACGTTAGCCATTATTATTCAGGAAATTATTATTAAGTAAATATTTCTCAAATCTTAGTAATTCTATGGACTAGGGAAAGGTTTATAATAGGAGACAGAGATCATTAGTCATGGAATCAGTCCCAGGTATAGAGTTTCTGCCTGCTAAAGCAACATGAAATCTGACTCAAAATCTGGCCTAGCCTCAAGAGAAGAATCAGTTTCTTAAGAGCTCACACTCGGAAAGCATACGGAACTGTTCTATGGCTCCGTAGCAGTGGAGCTTCTCCCAACATTCTATCATGGAGAACATAGCTCTCTGCACCAGTAGCAAGACAGGTGGGAACGTAGCCGAACATAACCATAGGAAAAATGACGAGGTAAGTAGATGCTTCATAAAACCCATAGAATAATTAAATAAATGAATATTTACCTTGAGTTGTTCTTTGAAAGCAAAGTATTTTCCAGAACAATTAAGTTCATAGTTGAGCTGGCATTTCTGCTCCTCCAGGGTTTCACTATCTATATCACCCTCCAGTTTGGCCACCTGTTTTCCAAACATGCCGTGATACTCATCCAGAATGGCTCTAGAAATGTTCTTGATCTGCAAGTGGTAGTCACTTACCGCCTAGGAAAATAAATAATGCCCGGTAAAGAGACCTCAAAGAGGTCAAGACGTGGAATGGAATTCTGAACTGAATTGTGTTTTATATTCAATATACTTTAGGTATAAATTGCTCTCTTCTCCTCACCTCAGAGACCACCAGCCAAAGATCAAACACTGAATACTATTCCTTGTAAGCCACTGGTCACAAATAGATACAGGAAGATATAGATGAGAAGCTACAATTTCTCACCCCTTCTGAAAAACCCCTTCTGAAAAAGCCTTATTTTCAAATGATGCACTCAACACCTTATTACTTATAGTTTCACCTTGACTTTGGCACTTGCCTTCTGAGCTCCTCCTGTCCTGCGGGTAAGAGGTGGTCTTGGAGGAATCATTTCCTTGACCCTGTATCAGGAAACAACAACTTTATTATCTGCAGATTTATGTTCTTTTATTTCCCACCACCAAAGAGTCTCAGTGGGGGAGATCTAAGGTTTGTTCCCCCATCATACTTGAGCACTGTGCTATTCTTTCATGTAAAAGCCAAGACACGAACCCCAGAACATTATATAGCTATGGACTAGATAGGAAAGAAGCAGAGAAGCAGCTACTCAGAGAGTAGCTAAGTTGCAATTTTGGCTAATTTGAGCCCTGGCTTTTCCATTACATACTTTAAAAAAACCACTGCTGTGTACAAAAGGATGCTTGACTCAGGGGTTAGAAAGAAATGGGTGTTATGATTTTAGATGTATTCAGTAGAGTCTTTGAAAACATAAAGTTTTGGAAATATAAATGGTATAAGCCAGGGGTGGGCAAACTTTTTGACTCGAGGGCCACAATGGGTTCTTAAACTGGACCGGAGGGCCGGAACAAAAGCATGGATGGAGTGTTTGTGTGAACTAATATAAATTCAAAGTAAACATCATTACATAAAAGGGCACGGTCTTTTTTTTTTTTAGTTTTATTCATTTCAAACGGGCCAGATCCGGCCCGCGGGCCGTAGTTTGCCCACGGCTGGTATAAGCAAATGAAAGCTTCCCCCAACCCCCTCTAAATCTAGGTCATGATTCACAAGACTGCTTTTAATTACAATAATGATATCAGGCTTTATGGTGAGTAAAAAATATATATTTTGTCACTATCAAACTACTTACACCAAAACTTCTACCTTCCATGTTTATGACTGTTTATAAGAACCTAGATGTAATTAAGTTATAGATTTTCCTTCTTATAATTTCAGATTTCTGCTGAAGTAAATTGTACTGCCATAGAGTTTACATTCAAATTCACTAAGGAAACAATCCCATTTATAATTGCATCAAAAAATAAAATACCTTGGAATAAATTTAACCAAGAATGTTAAACAGACTGACAGCTGTTAGAATGGAGCTAAGAAAATTATAAGACAATGAAGAAAGAAATTGAAGAATATACAAATAAGTAGAAGTATATACCATGTTCATGGTTAGGAAGAATTAACATCATTAAAATTTCCATACTACTCAACGCAATCTATAGATTCAATGCAATTCCTATCAAGATATCAATGGCATATTTCACAGAGCTAGAACGAATATTTCAAAAACTTATATGGAACCACAAAAGACCCTGCATAGCCACAGCAATCTTCAGAAAGAAAAACAAAGGTAGAGGAATCATGCTACTGGTATCAAACTTATACTACAAGGCCATACTAATCAAAACAGCAAGGTACTGGCATAAAAACAAACATATAGATCAATCAAATAGAATAGAGAGCTCAGAAATAAACTCACACCTTTATGGTCAATTAATATTCCACAAAGGAGGCAAGAAGATACAATGGGGTAAAGATAGTTTATAAATGTTGTTGGGAACATTGGACAGATGCATACAAAAAAACCCGAAATCAGACCACCTTCTTACACCATACACAATAATAAACTCAAAATGTATAAAAGACTTAAATGTAAGAGTCAAAACAATAAAAATCCTAGAAGAAAACATAGGCAGTAAAATCTCAAACATTTCTCGTAGCAATATTTTGTCTGATATGTCTTCTTGGGCAAGGGAAACAAAGAAAAAAAATAAACAAATGAGACTACATCAAACTAAAAAGTTTTTCAACATCGAAGGAAACCATCAACAAAAATACAAAGGGAGCCCTTTGAATGGAAGAACATATTCAGCAATGATACATCTGATAAAGGGTTAATATCTAAAATTTATAAAGAAAGTACACAACTCTACACTAAAAACAAACAAACAAATAATCCAATTTAAAAATGAGCAAATGACCTGAATACACAATTCTCCAAAGAGGACATATAAATGGCCAATAGACATATTAAAAGGTGCTCAATGTCATGAATCATCAGAGAAATGCAAATTAAAACCACAATGAAATATCACCTCAGACCTGTCAGAAAGGCTATCATCAATAAGACAACAAACAACAGTTGTTGGCAAGGATGCAGAGAAAAGGGAACCCTGTGCACTGTTAGTTGGAATGCAGGTTGGTGCAGTCACTGTGGAAAACAATATGGAGTTTCCTCGAAAAATTAAAAATGTAACTGTCTTATGACTTAGCAATTCCACATCTGGGAATATATATGAAGAAGCCTGAAACAGTGATTCAAAAGAATATATGCACCCCTCAATTCACTGCAGAGTTAGTTACAACAGCCAAGATTTGGAAGTAGCCCAAGTGCCTATCAGCAGCTTAGTGAATAAAAAAGTGGTGGTAACCCTGGCCGGTGTGGCTCATTGCGGCTCAAAAAACCACAAGTTGGTTGAGCACTGTCCCATGCACCAACAGTTTGAGGATTCAATTCCAGGTCTAGACACATGCCCAGATTGTGGGCTCAATCTCCAGTAGGGGGTGTGCAGGAGATAGCCTATCAATGTTTCTCTTTCACATCAATATTTCTCTCTACCTCTCCCTTCCTCTCTTCTCTAAAAAATCAATAAAAATATATTTTCAAAAAAGTGATGGTACATTACAAAATAATACTACTTGGCCATAAAAACGAGGGACATCTTACCTTTTGTGACAGCATTATGGTCCTGGAGAGTATTATGCTAAGTGAAATAAGCCAGTCAGAGAAAGACAAATACCATATGATTTCACTTATATGTGGAATCTAATGAACAAAATAGAAACAGACTCATAAATATAGGAAAACAGACTGACAGCTATTAGAGTGGAGCAGTTAGGGAGGATGGATGAAAAAGGTGAAGGGATTAAGCAAAAACAACAACAAAAAAACACTCATAGCCTGGCTGGTGTGGCTCAGTGGTTGAGCCTCGACCCATGAACCAACAGGTCATCAGTTTGAGTCCCCAGTCAGGGCACATACCCAGGTTGCATGCTCAATCCCCAATAGCAGGCATGCAGGAAGCACCCGATCGATGTTTCTATCTCTCTATCCCTCTTTCTCTTAAAATCAGTAAAAATATATTTAAAACACACACTCATAGATGCAGACGACAGCATGGTGATTAGGGGGGGGGGGGGGGGGGGGGGGGGGGGGGCGTAGAAGACGGTAAAGGAAGGATAAATGGTGCTGGAAGAAGACTTGACTTTAGGTGGTAAACCCACAATACAATATAGAGATGATGTATTATAGAATTGTACACCTGTAAACTATATAATTTTATTAACCAACTAGAGGCCCGGTGCACAAAAATTTGTGTACTCGGGGGGCGGGGGGAGGGGGTTCCCCCAGCCCGGCCTGTGCCCTCTCGCAGTCTGGGACCCCTCGGGAGATAACGACCTGCTGGCTTAGGCCTGCTCCCGGGTGGCAGAGGGCAGGCCCAATCCCTA